TGTGTGTGTGTGGTGGGTTGGGGGGGGGGGTCCCCACACCCATTCACTCTCCCTTACACCTGCACACTGCCCACCCGAGCTCTGTGCTGCTGCTTCTGCTGCCCCCTTGTCACCCTGGGCACAGGCTCCATGCTACCGCCAGCCCCATGCTCTGCTCTCTCACCCAGCTGCAGCCCCACCCCTGTTGCTTCCCTGCTTGCTGCTCAGAGCCAGCAGGAGACCTGGGAAGCAGAGCAGGTCCTAGGGGCTGTGGCAGCAGCAGCCCTGCATGGAAGCTGAAAGCTGGCCGGCTGGGCCCTTCCACCCGTAAGGGTGTGAGCAAGGCAACGAGGTACGTTTTGGGGGCTGTGTGTACACATGGGCACCTCACTCCCACCCTTGTGGGCAGAAGGGATGGGTGAGGCACAATTTGTTGGGAGGCCCCATGGGTCAGATGAAAGTGCTTGGCGGGCCAAATCTGGCCCACGGGCAGTACTTTGCTCATGCCTGCTCACTGCTTTATATCCAACCTTCTTCACCCTCCTAGCACACTCCTAAACCACAGTGCATAGACCTTCATGGTGCACCTGTCCCAAAGGATCTCTTCAGGATCCCAATGGGACATTCCCCTTTTCAGGACAGATACAAACTTAAGTTTCCATGGGCCTAATTTAAAGATTAGGGCAGTTCATGGGAGTCTTTCTACTGATGCCATGGAGCTTTGGGGGACTAATTTAGCCTTCTGTATCTGTTATCATCATACCCAAGGGCTTGTCAATGTAGATTCTCGAGATGAGGCTGGGAAAGATCAGGAGGGCAGGGATGGATTAAAAGTTCCCCATAAAAGTTCTGTGCCAAAAAAAAAAAGAGTACAGACATCTAAGGACACTGCTGACAATTTAAAAACATGAAGGACCTGAATTCCCTTGTGTCTATCACAGCATTACACAAAAGCACAGTGTAATTTTCCTGGAGGAACTTGTAATGTAAGCCAGCCTGACAGGAGAATCTGGCCCAGCAGGTGGCAGTTATTTAACCAACAGATTTCTGAGATGCATTTTGGTTTTCACCCTGTGTTATTTGGATGGGGCCTTCCTGGGTGCATGTCTTCTGCTTTCTGAACCTCAGCTCTTGCTGGCCCACCAGACCCCATTGCCCTCACTCACCCCAGAAACAGCAGGGTAGGCTGGTCGTGGGAGGCCAGGCAATGCCATTTTACTGTGGAAGGCAGTTGCGGAGATGATCTGGGCAGATGACATTGTGGCCATACTCTGCATGGCTTTATCTTTAGCTGCCTGATCCTAGATAGAGAAGAGAAGGGAATGAAAGACACAGGATGGTTGTAGCAGGCACCCAGCCTTCCCATTGACTTCAAGTAGGGAAACATGCTCAGCATCTCTAAAAACTGGGCTTAGAACCATTCAACAAGGATCTTCTGAAGCACAAAGCTCTTCTGCATTACTTGAGTTAAGACTGTGACTCGACCTCCATAATCGGCTCCTGTGATTGCTGGCTCAGAACTTTCCTAGCACTTCCCCTATTGTTTTGAAGTTTTCAGCTCCTGGTCTTGGCTCTGTGGCTGAGATGCTTTTGTTACAGAAGGCCTGATCCAAACCACTTCGATATTTTGAATTACTGGCAAGAAACTGGTAGGTTTTGGGGTTTTGTTTTTGTTTTTTTTGTTTGTGTTTTTTGTTGTTGTTAAAAAAGAAACCTAGGCTTTGACTTACTATTAACATACAAACAGCTCAACACCCCTATCACAAGACAAGCCCCTTCATTCTGGCATCAGGCTATTCTCAGTGAGAATGAGTTGCATTATTATCAGCCATTTCTCCAGGGAGAAAGTGAACAACTATACAACTCAAGAGAAACTAAAAAATAAATGAACAAATAAAAATAATCCAATAAATGAGAATCACTAGGTGAAGAGTTCCACAGGTACCATATTTTCACTGGAATATCAGCAGAGGTCTAAGATCTCTGTGACATCCATAAAGTCCTGTTGGTATCATTCAGAGCATGAAAAGGAAACACTTTAACAGCTTAAATAACTTTAAAGTATTCCAAAGCTATGCACACTTTCTGCAGAGCCCTATTTAAATGATGGTTTAGGAAAACATTTTAAAGGTAATCTGTAACTTTAAAATAAGATTTGTATCTTTGCTGCTTCCTCTGGAGATAAAAGCCCCTTCAGATTTGCCAATTGCCATAATGGAAAGTCTTTTCCCCACACTTTTTTACAAGGCATCTAAATCCAACCTTCCTTCTTTATGCAAAAGGATCGAAAACAACAACAAAATAGAGAACAGAATAGAGAACTTGTAGAACTATGATCCCCACAAATACTTAGGAAATGAAATGGGGCAACTGAGCGGAAGGGATTCTTACTAAGATTATTTCCCCTGGTTGTTTTTAATTATTTTGTTTTTCTTGTTTACATCTCTTCATTCAAATAACTGACTTACAGCTAGGAGGAAATATGATTTTTTTAAAATAGACTCCTTTCCCCTTCAGCTAATGGCTAGAAAGCCAAGTCTATTTCTCTGAATCTCCAGCAAAAAAAAGGGAAGACTAGGCTTCATATTCCACGTTATTCCTTATGAAACAAATACACCAGACAAAATAATAAGAATGAAAAAGCCAACCCCCACTTTATTCCCTTTTGCAGGCCTTTTTTTACATTGCAAGGAATGAAAAAGTGCATAATCCACCTTTTTTCCTTTTTTGCTGGTCACTTTCCTCCCAGTCTTAGTGCATATGACAAAGATTCACCAACCAGGATATGGAAAAACAAAGTCTGGGAGAGTATTTTCCCCTCAAGCTTTACCCTATCTTCTCTGAATTCATCTTGAACCTGATGTAAAAGTCTATTTTCCCAGTCCCGTGGTCAGCTGCAGACAACGCTCTGGATTGTGTTGTGAAAAGAGCACTGCAATAATTGCCAGATAAATCAGAACGTGGCAGCTCTGATCTCCGAGGTATAAACACGGAGCAAGGAAGGCAAAGCAGCAACAACAGAGCACAACCACTGTCAGCAAGGAGGTGAGAGAAGGGCAGACATCCCTCATATTTTAACTTTTTGCTTTAGGAAGATGACTGGGAAAAGCAAAGAAATAAATGAGTTGAATCAGCGCTGCCAATTTACCTCTGCAGGCCAGAAAGGAACAGCCCAGTGTTGGGAAATGGCACACCACAGGCAGCTGGGCAGAGCTCACAGCATGGCCCAAGAAAATGCTACAGGGTCCTAAGTAGTGGAACTCCCAGAGATACAAACTCAGCCTGCCTGCCCCTGTGCGTTAAGTGGAAACAAGCCCGGCTGACTTGCTCTTCAATCATGCCAAACCCCAGAGCTTCAATGTGCAAGGAACAGAGTCAAGGTTCCAATTATAAGCAGCAGTAAATCTTTTAACACCCTGGGCAGTTGTTGTTTCCTGCGCTCACTCTTATCTTTCATAGGACTCTCTCTGAATGGACCACTTACTGGCACCACAGGCTTTGAGCCCATGGCCAAGCCTAGCAGCCCTGAATTGGGCAGCTGTAATTTGCTGCTCCTTTGGCTTCCTGGAGCATCTGGAAAACACAGCAGGCTAATCAGTGACTAAAAACAGCACCACGTTCTAAAATAAAACCAAGGGAAGGGTCACAAGTAACTACAGTAAAACCTTGTTAGTTCAATATTGGATAGTTCAAAGTATCAGATACTTTGAAACTGACAAGGAAGGCTTGCATATGCTTTAGGATTTAGGATACAGCTAATTCAAGATATGGATACTTTGAAATTTGAAACACTTTTCTGGCCCCTTGGATCAGAAAAACCTCCAGTTTCTGCCCCAGGAAGAAACTGGCACTCAGCCTAAAGGTACCATAGTACCTGGCCAGCACAGGATGGACCAAGGCCAGTCCTGACACTTTCCTTCTGGTACCAAAAATGCTTGATCTTCGCCAAAAAGCCCAAAATGCTGATGACAGCCTACCATAAGTATAACCTAGTATAGCCCATCTAAATAAGGCATAGCAGCCACTGTGTTTCATCCCCCTCAGCACCGACTTTTTTTCAAGTCATGATGAACCCCTGCATCAACTACATTTTAACTTCCTCTTTACTCCCACAGCTGAATAGTGCTTTTTTTCTCATTTCCAATTATTCCTATTTCTTTTATCAACTTAAACTGTCCACCAAACCTCACCAAACATCTATGGAGATGAGAATCTCTGTTGCCGCCTCTTTTGGCCTGTCACATATGATTGGTGTGGCCCTGCCCACCCCTCCATAAGCTTGAGCCAGACCAGGGAGCTCGAAACCTCATCTGCATATACTTTTTTGAAGGGTCCCAGGACTTGTGAAAAGAAAACCAGTTTCAGTTGTGAGTTGGAGGAAAATAGCACATGGGTCCTTTGCTCAGCATATGTGTGTATACCAGATATCCTCTGCAGTGCTGGGCTGTAGGGTTACTATGGCTTGAAACACTGTTGACTCTGCTGGGGTCTAGCTCCATGAACCACATTATAAACTACAAGCCTTTTGGCTTTGAAGTAGCATCTTATGTAACTTGTACTTGGATTCCTATGGCGGGTTAAGGAGGCAATGATCAGTGACTAGAAGGAGTATATATTTTACCAAAAAAAGTGTGTACTTCATATAAACATACATAGAAGTACTGTTTAGAGTGTGCTTATGCTAAAATTTAGAGCAGTTTACAAAAAAACAGAAATAAAACAGTGATTATGAAATGGGGTTTTTCTGTTAACATCTTATTTAATGCCTGCATGGCTTCCTGCACAACTGAGTCTGTACATACTGTAGCAATTTGCATACATGCAAATTACTATGCATACAGTTACTTGGAGCTCATTTATTTCAAAGTTGCTATTTTTTGGTCCTCTGCATTTCAAATTAAAGAGGTTTTCCTGTAGTGCCCCAAATGTACACACACACAGCCTGGCGCTGGTTATTCAGAGACAGTCCATTCTTGATGATGGACACTGAAGGCACTCTGCCTGCTTCAGTCCTGCGAGTACCCCCACTCCCTCCATAAACCTGACCTCCTCTGTACTTTTGCCAGCACAATCTGAGAATGTGGAATTGGAGGACTTCATTTGTTTTTTAAACTGAAAATAACATCTGAGTTGCTAGCACATTACTCTTGTCCCAGATGTTAGTTGTGTTAATCATGCAGAAGGTAGGGAAGGGTGGCACCTGAGAGACTAACTGGTTCAGAGTGGCAATCAGCTCTCATAGGCAATAACCTACTTTACCTTTAAGTCTCTCAGGTGGCACCCTTCCCTGACTTTTTTCTGCAGAAGGGAAAATATCAATGTTTGCTTAAGCAGGTTGGTAGAAATCATCCAGGGTTTCTAGTCAATTTTTCATTAAATCACACTCTTCAAACCAGACCTCAGTTAGACATAGGGCCAGAGTCAGCTTAGCCCCAGGAGTCACAATGAGCGAGGTCTGCTCCTCCCTTGAGTGACTCAGTCCCTGAGGAGGTGCTGGTAGCCATCATCACCCTCCCTCAGAAGTTATGCCAGCTGAGGGTGGCCTTTATTTATGCTGGTAGCATCACGCAGTTGCCACTAGGAGAGGTGGCAGAAGAGAGACAGGGACCCGGAATCGGCATGCCCCCACACCACCAGGGAAGGAGGCAGTGGTCCCTGTAGATAAGTACAAACCTCGGCCCTTCCCGAGATAAATGCTGTTCTATGACCAGGGGCCACTGACTTGGTCCAAGGCTTCACAAATCAAAAGTAATTCAGGCTCAAAGAAATCAAAGTCATTGTTTCTTCGTTCTTTAAATAGAATTGTGCCCTGCGTCACAGAACCATAACAATACCAGCGTGAGAGCAACGCTTCCTGGGAAGTGCTCCTTCCTCCCCAGCTTGCTACAGTTTCAGTGCTGATCTCACTCCTTGCAAGGCTATTCCAAGAGAGGAGGAAGGATGGACCACTGCCTCAGGGGGTGGTGTGCTTTATTTAGGGACACACATCCTACCTTTAGCTTGGCTTGGATCTCTCGAGCTTTTCGACGTGCCAGCACCTGGATGTGACTAGATACCTGCAAGTGAAAACAAATTCCATCTGGATTCACTGGTGCTGCTTGGCATCTGCTTGCCATGTTAAACATTTATTTGGTGCCTCTGGGATGGGGAGTTAGTGGTCCTTTTAATTTTCTTTCTTTTTTTCTTTCTTTTTTCTTTTGAAAGAGGTGGCAGCATGAGGCAATTCCAAACATAAATGAGCCACGATACAGAGGGACAGAAGAGATGGCCCTTTAGAGGTCTCCTCCCACACAAGTGGCTCTGTGAAACTGGAGCCCTGCTGGGAAGTGGAAGAAGAATCTTCACCCCAAAGGGGCTGAAAACAGTGAGACTATTTCTCCTTGTGGTATCATGTCCTGGTCTCCGCCAGGGAGAAAGGGCACCCTCCACCAAATGGATTTCATACCCTTGGTCCTCCTTCCAGGCATTTGTTGATAATTTCTGACCCTCAGTCAGCAAAATAGGAGGTCTTTATGTTGGTGGTCATGAAGTTGAGGGCATATGAAGAGATGCTCACTAGTAAAATCATTTAATACTACCAACTGAGTTCTTGGCTGTGGAAACCTTCCTCTGTGCCCCAGTGTGTTGGAGATGGACAAAGGTGACAGGCCAGTAAGACAGCATTCAGACTGACTGCACTCTCATTAACCAGCATGCCATAGCTGATTTCCTTCCAAAAACACAGAGACTAATAACTGGTGAGCAGAGAGGCATTTTGTTCACTCAGTCCTTCTGCATCTGTAGCAGCACTTACGAAGGAGTAAGCATAATGTGGCAAAGTTTGTGCCTACCTGTTTCCTTGTGCGTGTTTTCCCTGTTCTCAGTTTAATATAGCGGGCAATCAACTCATTTCGACCTGGAACAAGGAAATAGTGCATGGTTAAATTTAGAGAGTTAGGATCCTGGTGAGAAGATGCAGCATGGCATTTTCTATCGAAAGAAGCCTGCAGGGAGACAATACACCCTCATGCTGACCCCCTAACTCAGAAATGTGCTCATTTAGTCTGTTGCGGTAGAAATCTGTGTTTTAGGAGCAGAACTCTGGGCTGCAAGTTCTATTCCCCATGTTGTATAAACAAGTTAAAACAGAGGGTTCAACCTTTTTGGCAAGTGTATCACAATGCTCCCTGAGTGCCACTCCCATCACCTTGCCCTCCCTGATCTGCTGCTCTGCTCCCCACCTGAATTGCTACTCTTGTTTCCTGCTTCCTACCCTATCTGCCTCTGTCTTATCAGTCCGCTCTCTGATCTGCCATGTAGAACACAGAGATGTTGACTGTGCAGTTCACTAATTAGCTATGCAGTAAACATCTCAGTGTCTACACATACACCTCTTTTAGGCTAGAGTAAACTAATTTACTCCATAGCAGGATAGTATTTGTAATACAAGTACTGTCATGCTGCAGAGTAAAACACTCCGCAGCAGTGCATGTATAGACATTAGAGAGACTGGCTGGGACACAAGGGTGCTTCAATGAGGGGGCTGCCTACTGGCTAGCCCTGCCCTGAAGCAACCTTGTGCCCAACTATCCCCTCTGCAGCACATTGGGCTGGCAGGAGCAGCCCTGGGCTGGCAGGCTGACCCCCAGGGGTCCCTGCAGCTGGTGCTGCTCTGACCCGGTGCCATGTGCTGCACATGAATAAACTGTGGAGCTTATTGCTCCAGAGTTAATTGCTCCCAGGCACATGTTAAAAGGGTACACCCAGGATCAATAAACTTCAGAACAATAATCTTGGCAGTTTATTCATGTGCAGTAATAGCATGCGTAGATGTGCCCACAGAGGTTACTATGTCACTTGTGGCACATGTTGCAGGTTGGCCATCCCTGCTGTAAAATGACCTATAAGGGAAAAAGAAAACAGGTGCATTTATTATTGTTATTGCGATAGCATTTGGATGTATCCAAATCATGAACTAGTACCCCGTTGTGCTATGTGCTGCTCCAGACACAGGACAAAAAAATCCCTCCCTGCTTCAAAGTATTTACAAGCTACAGGACAGTGTGAATGACAGGTGGATACACACAGGTGGGGGAGCACAAGCAAACAATGAGCCAACATTTGCCAGAAGGCTAAAAAGGGATCTCGGTGTATCAACAACCCAACCAATGTCAAGTTTTTGTAGGTCTCATGGTAAATCAGAATCTTAAGGAGGAACGTGGAGGAGGATATGAGGAGATTGCTTGGTGAATGCATGCAAGAAGCTCCCCCCAGAATGAAAGAAAGCACCTAGGTGCCTGTCTGAAAACTGAGCCAGTAAAAACATAAGAACATAATAAGTGCCAACCAATGGTGCTGATCTAGCTCAGGCATGCTCAGCGTGCAAGTATCCAGTCCACAGGGCTCCCTATAGATTGGGAAATTTGGTGTGAGGGAGCAGTGGCAATAAATATAGCCACCCTCCCTGCTGCAGTTTCCTAAAGCCCAAGCCCCACACAGCAGGTTGGGGCCAGGTCATGCCCCCTCCCCTGCAGCTGAATGCAGTTGGAACATGCTCCCTTTCTGCCACAGGCCCAGGCTCAAGTCCCCTTTCCCCTATAGGGCTATGTTGGGGCTGGACCATACCCCCTTCCCCCATGGGGCAGGGTTGGAGCTGGGCCATGCCCTGTACCTCCCCTCCAAGGGATCAGGTTGGAGCCAGGATGTCCCCTGCCCCCCTCCATGAGGCCGGAAGGGGCCCTGCTGCGACTGCCCTGTGCCAGATTGGGACCACTAGTTGGATCCAGCCCATGGACAGCCTGAGCACTGCCCATCCAGCCCACCACTTATCTCCAACAGTTTCAGGGATGAATGCTATGGAGGGAGAACACTGAACCTGACATATCTAGAGTGATCTACGCCTATTCAATTCTTTCTTTGGCATCTACCATTATTGGTTTAGAGATCCCAGAGGAAACTTCTTCAACTGTTCTGTTCAATAGCCATTAATAGATCAATCATGCATAAATTGATGTAGACCCTTTTAGAACCTGGCTATGCTACCTGCCTCTGGAAGAAAAGGCACACAGGGTTAACAGAAGCCAGAGTTCACATTTTAATGCTGAATGAAAGATGAAAGTGACTGGTTGTGAAGTGCCTTGACAGTGAAGACCAGTAACTTAGGTTTGATGTGATGGAGTAGGAGCACCCAGGGGAGGACACAGGGGGGTGGGGGGGTGACATTCTCAAAGCAGCCAGGTTCTGGAAGGAGATGAGTAAAGCAAGATTATATTTGTCAAGGCCAGAGAAAAGGATGTTGTAGTAACTGATATGGGAAATGATGAGAGCCTGGATGAGAGTTAGCCCTGTGTAGAAAAGAAAGGTTGTATCTTAGGGATATTAGACAAAAAATTCTGCAAGATGTAAGGAGCTGAGGCTTCTCTACAACTTTATTGGAAACCGTCCTTTGTGGAGTTACATCTTAGGCCAGCTAAACAGTTATTTTGCCAGTGTAGCCTAAATGATGACACCACGTGAAATCACTTGCAATGGCTGAAGCACTTCTTTGATGCTATAATCAGATCTTTGTCAGGTAAGTTATGTTACTTAGAGGTTTAACACAAGATGTTAACACATCTGAGAGAACTTTGAGAACAAAAGGGACTTTTAGAAGTAAACACAGCCCAAAAATAGGATACCACTTGCAAACCAGGCCTAAGTTATAGGGTGGTTGTGTTGGCCACTATGAGTGAGTGAGAAAGGAAATTGCCAAGGTAGACCTGGTGGCTGGTGGAGTGATGCATGTGTTTCAGCTATCTTGAGCTTGAACCAATGGCTTAGCAATCGCAAGGAGATATCAGAGAAACTGATCTCAGTAGTTTTGTCAGGAGGAGAAAGGAGTGGACCAGAAAGGTAGATCTAGGAGTCGTCATTATTGGAGATGAAAGTTGAACTGGCATTTGTGAATGACATTACCCCAAAATCAGATGAAAGGGGAGAGGGAGATAGGCCAGCAACTGGAAACACTTGTGGGGTCAAGGGTGTTTTTCAAGAGGGAAGAGGCTAAACTTCCATTGCGAGTGGAAAGAGCCAGAAGAGAGTGGACTGTCAAGGAGAAGGGTAAGGGGAGGGAGGGACTGAGGGCATGAAGGAGATCATGAGAGGGGATAAGACCACTGAGACACAAAAATAAAAAAGGTCTAGGGGAGGAAAGCAGATGAGGAAATTCTAACAGTGTCTCTGGGAAGGAAGAAGAAAGAGTGCAAACCAAGAAGAGGGGGAGAATGTTGCCAATTTTCCCATGGAAGAATGAGAGATCCTGTGGGGGGAGAGAGAGAAAGAAAGAGGGAGGGAGAGAGAGAGAGGTAAATGGAGACAGAAGAAGGTACAGCCTGCGGAAGGAGTCAAAGGTAGTGAAGAGTCAGCTGGAATTGCAGATATGGGAGTCAATGAAGGTGGAGATGCAGAGTTGATTAGCTGGGACAATGGCAGAACCAACGGAGAAGAGAACGAATTTGTGATTGAGGAGTCAGCCTGGTCACAAGATTTCTGCCAGAGGCACTCTTCAGCATTTGAACAGGAGCAGAAGTGGATGCTGCAGGTGAACCTGGGCCTTGTGCTGAAGAAGAGGGGGCAAGTGAAGAGTGGAGAGAAGTGGAGCCTGAAGTGCATCAACGACCAGAACAACAGAGTGAGAGAAAAGTGTAGTGAGGAGAGGGCTGACAGCACTGAGAGAATAGGACAGATCAACAGATTAACACTGAGGGAATAGAAGTCCTGGAAAGCCTGAATGATAGGGCATGAAGGAAGGGATGGGAAAAGTAGAAGGATACAAGATGATGGTAGAAAAGTGGCTGCTTTCTCTCAGTATCAGAGAGAGCAGCACTTGGAAAAGATACTATCAACTCAATGACTCTTTTGATTAACAGTGGAGTTGAATCCATGGCTGCTGATCAAATGAAGAGGGGAGGGTAAGGATTTGTACAGCTAAGGGGTGGGAGGTGTGGCCAACAGCTAAACTAAAGTCACTAAGGATAAGATTGTGAGAGCCTGTGGGGAAGAACTGAGAACAAAGGAACAAAGGTCGAGTGGTAGGCATTGGTGCACTGTCCTAGGGTGGAAGTTTGCCTTTTTAAAGGGGCAGAGCACAGTCTCCATTCTTATTGTTGTGTAATGGGCTTATGTTTGGGTTATTGTTTGTACCGGTGGTTTGGGATGAGACCGTAAGGCAAGGTGGAGGCCTCATTAGTGCCCAGTGGGAGGGGCACCTGACTGTGTAGAGCACAACACCAGAGCGGTGCAGGGACACAGGGGGTATGGTGCCAGAGGGGCACAGAGACACAGGGGCCGGAGGGCCCGGCACCAGAGGGGTGTAGTAGACAGGGGTATGGAAGAGGCTCAGCATAGGAGCAGAGTTCAGCCCTGGAAAGGGCTAAGTGGGTCAACTGTTCATATAACACCCGCAAGACATGGGGCATGGTATAGGCAAGGTATGGAGCCATGCAATTAGCCCATAAGGCTTGAGGTGTCCCACGGGGCACCATCTTGGAGAGGGGCCCAGCAAGGGATCCAAAGGCCAGTGTGGTCTAGTAGGGTTTAGTGGGACTAGGTGCCATACAAGGCTCATGGGCAGCCTCCCTGTTTATTATTTTGCCAGCAAGCCGTGGTAGATGAGATAAGAAGGCACCCTCGGGACAGAGCTGGGATGGTCACAGGGCATGAGGAATTGTCATGGTCACCCCTGGGACCCCCACCTGCAAACAATAGAGATGGAGTGGGAGCTCCAGAGATGGCACAGGAAGGGGAAAGTTGGGGGATGGGCCTTAGGTGAGGAATGGTGGCATGGGAGATGCAAAGGTAGTTGAAGGAAGCAGGGTGGTGAGGAAGGACCAGAGCTGGGATTCATGTCACCAGAGCCCAAGAGGGGCAGAACAGGAT